TCTTCTTCTTCTTCTTCTTCTTCTTCTTCTTCTTCTTCTTCTTCTTCCTCTCCTCCTCCTCGTTGTTGTTTTATTGTTGTGTTGTTATTTTGTTGTTTTATTGCTATTCCTGGTAATAACTTTGTGAAAGAAAAGACCCGCCCCCCTGTGTAGATTTACGCATTGGTGCTGGCTTCTTTATGGTGGGCGCCGAGCGCTATAAATAGGCGAGTTCAGAGCGGTTTCTGCTTGCCCGATCAATACCACGGCTCTGTTCTCGGGCTGTATTCCCAGCCCACCTCCCTTCGCCCGCCGCAGCTGGAGCCGACCTGATTTTATGAATTATAGAAGCGGCTCGACCAGACTTGCTTTCCTTTCTGAGCCCGGGTTAATGTTAGGTCGCCTTCTTCTTCTTCTCCTCCTCCTCCTCCCCCGCCCGCACCGCACCGCACCCGAAATAGAGGGAGGGCCCGGAACTGACAGAAGGTTAAAGTTGTTATTTATTTCGCTGCTCGCGCCTCTGTCCGTCCGGGAAGGCGAAGGAAATCTCAGGACGCTGCGAGGGCTAAATTTAACAGGGCGAGGAACTAAAAGTAGGTGTTATTGAATTTGCTCCGCAGCACGTGGAGTCGGAGGTTTTGTAAGGTGACTGCGTTGAACTTAAAAGCCCTTCCAGATAGATGGGAATTGCAAATTCCCCCGGACCCACCTAGAGAGATCCAAGGGGGGAGCCCCCCCACATATGATAAAATACCCACGTCGTTTAAACAAATGTTTAAACAACGAGGGGAACCTTTTTAAAAATATATCAAAGCCACACACACACACACCCAAAGATGCCCCTGAATGCTTCCCCCTCTCTCCCTCCCTCCCTCCCAGCACGCAGATAACAGAAATTGTTCGGCGAAATAAATAAAACTGAATTTCGTTTTTTCCCCCCTCTTCCTATCAATGGGGTAAGAACAGGGAAACCAAGCAGTTTAACCGATAATCAGAGTTGGAAGGGGTCTTATAGGTCATTTAGTCCAACCCCCTGACAAATGGCAGTCCAATCTCTTCTTGAAAGTCTCAAGTGATGGCGCTCCCACAACTTCCGAGGGCAACTTCTGTTCCATTGGTTGATTGTTCTCAATGTCAAAAAGTTTCTCCTTATTTCCAGGTTGAATCTCTCCTTGTTCAGTTTCCATCCATTATTCCTTGTCTGGCCTTCAGGTGCTTTAGAAAATAGCTTGTCCCCTTCCTCCCTGTGGCAGCCCCTCAAATATTGGAAGACTGCTATCATATCTTCCCCTGGTCCTTCTCTTCATTAGACTAGCCATGCCCAGTTCCTGTAACCTTTGAACTGAATATAAAGTCCCCGTTTTGAGGCGCCATTCGTTTCAAGACGGGGGGCTGCACTCTATATCTGTTCCTGAGAATTCTTTCGACTACCTCTGGAGTTGCTACTCCGATCTTACACCTGGGTTGAATTCCTGAATGGGGGCTCGAGGGGATCGAACTGACTCCAAAGTGTGCCATTCGTTCTCGCTTTCCCCAAATCGATAACACAATCCCCTCCCCCGCCAAACAAAATAAAACAAAACAAAAAACCAGGTCATTTCAGGAGAGGCGCCGTTCAGCTGAAGCTCCGACGTTGCTCCTGTTCTTCACACTTGCTCGCTCTTTTCCGTAACTCAAGAGCGCTGATACATGGTATGAATGTAACCTCTTTCCCCAGAAAATAAAACGGACTCCTCATTTCAAACAATAATTTTATTTTATACCTTTTTCTATACTTTGTAGCAAATCTTTTATGTTATTTATTTTATTTTTTTGCTGCATTGACTTTATAATAAACTTTCTTAAATTACATTTTTTTTTCCTTTTAAAATCAAGATTCTCTTAATATACCCCTTCCCACAGAACCTTTTCAGGTTGTGTGTTCGCTTGTGATTATTTTTGTAACGTTAACATATACCTTTCTTCCCTCCTCCTCCCCCCCCCCAACCCCTCCCGTGATCTGTTGGATAGCCTATAATGGTGAAACACCTATAAAACAAAGAGGTACAACTCTTTAAAAAAGAGAAGAGAATTCAACGGAAAGAGGCAGTGAAGACTTGAAGGATGCTTTGACGGCTTTTGAAGCTCAGCCTTCCGCAACACTTAGCAGCATTCCACGGGGGGCGCTTTTTTTTTCTTTTTTTTTTACGCTAAAAACCGCACATTGGGTTTTTTTCCCCCCTCCATTTTTTTTAAAAAAAGGACCCCCTCTTTTTTTTCCCCGTTCTTCTTTCTTCCTCCATCCCTCCCTCCCTCCCCCCGCCACCCATTGAGGGAGGGAGAGTCTCGGTCCTTCGAAGTGAAAATGGTGGTGGAGGGGAATATCGAAAAGAAATCAGTAAAACGACAAAGAGTTTCCGAGGCGAGACGATCAAACGTCGGTGAGTTCATCTCCTTAGAAAGCCGCTCAACCCACGTGCACAGGTGGCTCCATTTCCGGTCGTGCTTCCCGCGCCCCCCCTCTCCCCCCATCTTCCTCGCTCAATTCAACCTTCCGGGAGAAGCTGTGCCTTCCCCAGGCTGGGGGATTGTGGGCGGGGGGGGGGGAGAGAGAGAGAACCGAGCTCCTTTTTCGTTGCCGCGAGTAGTGTTATTAGTATTATTTTATTACTATCGTTACTATTATTTTTATTATTATTATTACCTAGTATTAACTCTTTATTAGTAATCGGTGGTGGCTGGAAGCCGTTCCTGAGATTCTTGGTGCACCCACCCACCCACCCACGCGCGCACGCACCCACACCCACACCCGCACGCACCCACGGAAAAAGAGGGCTGGAGTTGTTGACCTTATTCTGAAGAGAAGGGCTAAAGCTGAGGTCCGAGTTTGGCTGTTTTGCTTCGCTCACCGTTGAGGGACCATTTGGCAACTCATCTGAACGCAAAAGAAATGGAGAGGAAGGCGAGGGAGAGAAAGAGAGAAAGAGAAAGAAAGAGAAAGACAGACCAGGCTGGTCGTGATGGCTTCCATTTCTCTGTCTCTCCCCCACCCCTCCACTCCCCTGTCCTTCCCCAATATGGATGTTGAGATCATCAGCACCATGGAGACTTCCCAATGTGTTTCCCCCCTTCTTTTTTTGTGGGGTTTTTTTTGGGGGGAGGAAACTCCCACCCCCTCCGCTCCAAGCCAAGGGGCAGAGACGTTTCTTCTGTAAATCCACGCCCTGGAAAAAGAGAGAAGCGAAAGGAGGTGGGCCGAAGGAAGAAGGTGGGCGAGGGGGCACGGACTCCTGTGCCGTGTGGGACCGGCGCGTGCTGCTGACGTGAAGAAGGGCCTTCTACATGGAGATGCAAGTCGCCAACGTGGCAGAAAGAGCCGCCAACAGCACCGGGGAGGCAGAGGCTACGAAGAAGGACGAGGCTGCTCGGTTGGTTTTGCTGCAGAGGACAAATAGGTTGCCTTCGTAGTCGAGCTTTTTGGATTTCTCTTTCAGTTTTTCCCAGACGTCTGTCAGCCCTTCGTGACAATCCAAGAGGGCTGTGGCGGTGCAGGAGTGGAAGTCATCCCAGTATCTGAATATAGAGGGAAAGACACAAGAGGGAGAGAGGGAGGGAGGGAGAGGTTGGTGGCATACACGGCAAACCCCTCCTTTCCGTCTGCCCTCACAATAAATGAATTCAGCAATATGCCCTTTTGTGCATTCCCAATAGAAATACACAACCCATTGCTTGACCTAAGTCAACATGTTGGCTTAGGGCTTATATGAATTCAAGTATTATAATTTACTAAATTAAGGTTATAACGAACTATGGTATAATACAATAAATGAATTCAGTCAACAATATACACTTTCGTGCATTCCCAATAGGAATAGATGACCCATTGCTTGATCCAAGCCAATATGTTGGCTTAGCACAGCTTGTATGAATCCAAGTATTATAGTTTACTAAATTAATTCAAGTTATAACCAATTATGGTATGGTACAATAAATGAATTCCGTCAACAATGTACTCTTTCGTGCATTCCCAGTAGGAATAGATGACCCATTGCTTGACACAGTGTCTGGGTTCATGTAAGCCAATATGTTGACTTAGCACAGCTTGTACTGGTTATGAATTCAAGTATTATAGTTCATTAAATAAACTGAGGTTATAATAAATCCATGGTATTGTACAATAAATGGATTCAGCCAACAATATACACTTTTGTGCATTCCTAAGAGGGCTACTAACCATTTCAATAAATGCTGGTAGTTTGGGGGTAGGGGTGCAGATGAGGATAGAAATCCAGGTTCACTTCCACGCTCTGCTACTACAGTTGAAGCTCATTTGGTGCTTTTTTTTGGCCAGTCACCCCTACTCAACGTCTCCTAAGTCACAAGGCTGTTCTCTGAAAAATCAAAGGAGGCATCCCCAGTAGAAAAAGGCAAATCTGCCTTGCAGGAAGGGGCAAATAGAGGCACTAGTGTGTCTGGCAGAAAAGTCATTGCCCTGGAAATTCTATTTGGTTCTTTCACCCTCAATACAATGTCTACCCCAGACTCTCACTCCAGACATTAGCCAATGTTCCAGACCAGTGTTTTTCAGCCTTGGCAACCCCAGGACTTCAATTCCTAGAATCCCCTAACCAGCATTACTGGGAGTTGAAACATTACTGGGAATTGAAGTCCATCCATCTTGGAGCTGCTAAGGTTGAAAAATTCTTAAGGACTCATCATCTCACTGTTTTCCTGGAATTTTACCAGCAACGGAGGGGATAATATCTCTTGTCATCCCTGTCCATCATCTACAGTCCTTGGGGAGGATGAAGGTTGCAATGGTACATCTCAGAGGTGGTATTCAGCAGGTTCTGACCAGTTCTGGAGAACCGGTAGCGGAAATTTTGAGTAGTTCGAAGAACCATCAAATACCACCTCTGACTGGAGATTTTATAGTATCCTTCCCCTGCCACGCCCACCAAGCCATGCTCACAGAACCAGTTGTAAAAAAAACTTGAATCCCTACCACTGCAGGGTACCAGCTTGGTCCATGATGCCCTATCCCCTATACTGAATAATTACATCAAATAACTGTTTATAAAAATCATATATATATATACACACACACATACATACATACATACATACAAACAGAGAGAGAGAGAGAGAGAGAGAGAGAGAGAGAGAGAGAGAGAGAGAGAAAATGAGAATTCTTTATTGGCCAAGTGTGATTGGGCACACAAGGAATTTGTCTTGGTGCAAATGCTCTCAGTGTACATAAAAGAAAAGATACATTCGTCAAGAATCATAAAATACAACACTTAATGATAATCATAGGGTACAATAAGCAATCAAATCATACTAGGAAACAGTCAATATGAATTGTAAGGATACAAGTGACAAAATTACAGTTGTACAGTCACAAGTGGGAGGGGATGGGTAAGGAATATATATTCCATAAGGAATGATGAGAAAATTAATAGTAATAGTAGTGCTGACTTTGTAAATAGTTGAACAGTGTTTTCTATTCTATTCTATAAAAATCATAGGTTGCAAAGGTATGACTAAAACCCCCCCCTGATTTTCCCTATACTAGCATACAGGAAGAATATCCCTTCTGAGAACCTGCTAAGGATGCATCTATGCATAATTGAAAAACAATCTTTTTTACTTCAGAGAAATTATTGGCCAGTCTAAGTAAGACTAGAATTGATGAATAGCTCATTTATTTTGTTAAGAGAAAAATATATGGCACTTCTAGTTGCTCAAGAGAGTGAACATAATAGTAGTCTCTCCTTCAATTTTTCAGAGAACAGCCTTGTGACTTAAAGAGAGGTTGAATAAAGGTGACTGGCCAAAAAAAGCACCCATTGAGCTTCTACTGTAGTAGCTGAGGGAGGAATTGAACCTGGATTTCTTCCGTCATCAGCATCCTTACCCCCAAACTATTAGCATTTACTTAAATGGTTGACAGTCCTATTAGGAATGCAGAAAAGTGTATATTGCTGACTGAATTCATTTACTGTACTAAACCATGGTTTGTTATAACCATAGTTTAATAAACTATAATACTTGAATTCATGCAAGCTGTGCTAAGTTGGCTTACATGATACATGAACCCAGACATTCTGTCAAACAGTGGACCACCTTTTCCACCAAATTCTAGACTGTAGTCATGTATAATGTGAATGATTTACTTAGTTAATACATAAAAGTGACTAGCTCACCACACTGCCCAAAACAAACTGTGTTATAGCTTAGCATGCGGTGTAAGCCCAGTCCTATTCTGATGGATGTGGGCTGGATATGATGCATGTGATAATTTGGTTGCAATCAAATAGTTGATAAAGCTACCCTAGATGTCAACTGTTCCCCCCCCCCCAAAAAAAAACTTCCAACTTTCAGTTGATCAAGAATCAGCTAGCTATTACTACTACGTTTCCAAAGAGATAACTTTTATGTGGAGTCAGTAGATATTGGCTTAGAAAACTATTTTCTGCTGGATGGATTTATAGGAAGCCATGGGGAATGCCTTGGTGGAACCATCCCAAAACTGTTAAAGAAGAAGTCCCATTAGTCAACCTTGCCTCTTTTTGACCCACCTGGGGAGGCCATGTATGACTTCATCCTAGGACGCCGAGCTGTGACTGCATACAGTGATAGAAAATACCCTGGCACGCGGCCCAACCTTTTTTCCCCCCTCACTGCTAAATTAAAACAAAATTGGAAGTGCTTAGAAATGTGCAGCTTATGTTGTAATAATATTTTCCCCCTGAGCAGTAATGAAAAATGTGAGTAGAGTGGGGAAGAGTTGTGATAACACAGCTTTAAGAGAAATGTACTATGCATTCGCATACACCTTTTATGTCTTTGATACTTTGAGTTAATGGAACTAGTGACAGGGACCCTTATGAACTTGACACAAAAGATGTTTTAATTATACCTTGAGTGCCAGGTAATAGTTAGGGTGCTGGAAAGCTGTAGAGATCAGGTTCAAATCCCCATTCAAACATGAAAGTCACTCCCTTATTATAAGCACTATATTTCAGATTAAATTGCTTCAAAATGTTTTATCTAATCAATTTCCATGATACATGAAACCACAAATGAGTGAGCCACATTTTAGGGTGCGTGTTGCCTAAACCCCACCTGTTTCTATGTGGTAATTTAGGGATAATCTGTTGGACTGAAAAGAAAATTATGCCTATTGATTATACTTTTAAAAATTATGGGAAAATGTATGCAAACCCAGCTATTGTGAAGCAAGAGCAGGATTTTGGAACCATCCAACTTTTTTTAAAGAGGCTAAATGATCGAAGAGATAAATAATTTACTGCTTTCTTATTGCTCTACAGATCTTAATGCTACCACTTGATTCTGAGAACAAGTGCTTAGAGCTGAACTCTGGTTCAAAAAATTAATCAGTTTCTCACATATTTTAGACTTTGTTGCAAGAGTGTCCAACCTTGGCAACTTTAAGACTTATAAACTTCAGCTGGCTGAGGAATTCTGGGAGCTGAAGTCCACAAGTTTTAAAACTGCCAAGGTTGGGTGCCCCTGCTTTGATGGTTCAATTTATAATTTGACATGCCTACATAATGTAGGATCATGACTTTCATATATTTATTTTCCTCAGGCTGTTTTATTGCTGCGTTCTATTGCTTTAACCTTTATTGATTTAGTTTTTTAATCTGTTCAGAAATATAATAAAATTATGAATAAAGGCAGCCAGTTCCAATGAGAATCTGTGAACTTTAAAGTACATTTTTCAAGAGAAAGGCAGTTAATTGGACCTTGGACTATACAGGTAATCCTCAACTTATGACCACAAGTGAATTGAACCCAAAATTTGCATTGCTAAGGAAAACTGTTGTTAAGTGAGAGTTACCCTGTTTTATGATCTTTCTTTCCACAGTTGTTAAGTGAATCACTGCAGTTGTTCAGTTAGTATCACAGTTGTTACGTGAACCTGGCTTCCCCATTGACTTTGCTTGTCAGAAGGGGATCATATGATCCTGCGACACTGCAACCGTCAAAAATATGAAGCAGTTGCCAAGTGTCTGAATTCTGATCATGTGACTATGGGAACGCTGCAATGGTCATTAAGTGTGACAAGTCATTTTTTTCAATGCTGTTACAACTTCAAACAGTCGCTACCACTAAGTGAATAGGATTACCTATAATTCAAGCTTGAAAGTAGAAATTAAAGGGTAGCATCTTTTAAAAAAATAAATCTGTATGTTAATGATGCAGATTGCACCAAATGCACCAGATTCCTAAAACAATTCCTTTAAAAAAAACACTTGGGAAAAATGAAAGGAATGCAGCAAGATGGGGAAAAAAGTATACAGAAAAAAAAAGGGTCACAAAAATAGGTTTTCCACACCTCAAACAAATAACCTTCTTAAACACTTTCAGGGGAAAAGTGATACAAATACAGGTAGTCCTCGACTTACAACAGTTAATTTAGTGACTTATGATTGTTTTTCACAGTTAAGACCTTTGCAGCATTCCCATGATCAAAATCCAGATGCTTGGCTACTGTTTCATACTTCTGACCGTTGCAGTGTCCTGGGGTCATGGGATCACTTTTT